CTGTATTCTGTACATGGTATAGACTTCAGACTAGGGAGATGGTTTTAGCAATACTTTGCCATGCATACATCTATTTTTCTAGTATAATGAAAATACCTGTTTATTTCATGGTGATTAAAAGAAGAATAACTCAAACGCTTCAGTGAAAAATACCAGCTGATAGGATTTTTGCAGATAGCAAATCAGAGTATGCAAGAAAAGAGTGCAAGATGTCTTCTGGGTTGTTCATAAAAACACACTAATGGTAGAATTTTCCACTCTGATCCACATTGCTGCTCTGTTATCCACATAGTGAGTCATTAGTTCATGCACACACTTTGCACTTGTTATGCAGTTTTCAACAGAAATTGGCTGACAGAGGCAAAGAGAATTTTACCCTATGGTTTCATGCATAAATGATTTGCTCAATCTTAGTTAGATGCTATCACGAAGGAGGACCTGATCCTGCACTGCTGAAAACCAAGTGGATCTTTAGTCTTAATTTCAGAGAGTGCAAGATCATATCCAGAGATTACATCAGTACCTAGTAACATTAGAGCAATTGATGGGATTGCTGAGAGGAAGTTTAAGAAAACATACAATGTTAATTAATTAGGTACGATATGTGAACACTTGAAGGAGAGAGAGAAACTATTAGATCTGACATTGTCTTTGATTACTGCCATAAGTGTTCAGAAGGTAGATACATTTTTTGAGATCATCACTGTGCATCAGAAAGGTAAGAGTAAAGCTACTTGCCCATGCTGACATTCATTAACATCCCTCAGAATGACTGTCCCTGTAATAATGTTGAGTAGAGAGAGAGAGCCATGCTTCTGTTCTGAAAGGGCAAAGGAGTTAAGTGTCTGAAAAAACAGAGATTCTGGAAGCATCTGTTAGTTAATGGAGTTCTTTGCAGCATGGTCTGGATGTTAAAAGAGGAGTTTCCTTCTTTAGAAGGTCAACTATCGTTAACTAACCCTTATTAGAGTATGAACGAACAGTGAACCAGTACATGGCCAGATCTGCAACTGTCCCAGTGGATAAGGAGATGGTGCCCAATTCCATTTTGAGGTTTCATATTTTATGACTTACCTCAGGTCAGCAGAGGAGTTACCTATTTCTCTTTGCTTTCAAACTCACACAGAAGTTTCTTACTTCATATGCACATTCTTTTCTGTAAATTACTTTGTTTCCCAATTTTCTTTCTAAAGGTAACAAATCACATATTAGAACTCTCATGCTAAAAGGACTGCGCCCATCCAGATTAACAAGAAATGGATTTACAGCTCTGCACCTGGCAGCTTATAAGGTAAATTATTTTTAATAGAATTGATGAAATCAGAACTGAGCAGCTTATTTATCTGAACTATTTAGTTGAACTCTCCAGTTGCTACTTCTGGTGAAAATATAAATTTCACATTTCCAGTACATAGGAAAGTGACCTATAAAGACCTCACGCACAGGAAATCAGGATGTGCTTTTGCAATATCATCCATGAAGATATGATATTGCTTTGGAAATATTGATTAAATCATGCAATGCAACTCAGGATAGAGGAGTGTTATTATTATAGCTATTAATAGAAACAATCTCAAAGGACTTTATTTTACAATTTCTTTTCTGCTTCTTTTTCATTGTTCCTCCTCAAGTTCTGCAGTCAGTTTCAATATGGATTTTCTTCACTGTTATATTTATCTTTTAAAACTCGGCAATAATGGTAGCAAGGAATAAAGTAAACAAAGACAGCATTTTCCTGAAGAATTGTTACAATTTTTTTCTAAAGAACTGTTACAATTTTTGTTCTGAGATGGAGCATCTTAGAAACTTAATCCATGTATAGGCTAGCCCCAAAAGCACTTAGCTTTGTAGAGGGAACTATGATAAAATTTAGGAGTTTATATTCTTGACTACAATGTTCAACCCTTAAATGTCCTATAGGTGCCAGAAGGTCATAACAGCCTCTATTTCTTTTGCAAAGCTTTCGTGGCAGATGCGCTTCTGATTTGCTGTGTGTTCAAACCTGATAGAAGGTTAAGTCGGTTGGCACCTGTGTGCCACTCTTGATCCGTAAGTGATGTTCCTCACCCTGTTGCAAGAGGACATGGATATGGTAGATGGTCTTTAATCCAAATACCCAATTCCAAATGCAGCA